TTACTGAATCTTATACTGTGATAGAAGCTGACATAACATGACATAACAACAAACCGCATTTTCCAGCCTAAACTGTTAGTTTTAATTTTGGGCTGTTTTTTTTTTTTTTTAATTATGATTTAAGCTGCGCTTTTGTGACGATGTCAGTCAGGGGCGGTCACTGATGATGTCATTTGGCGCCGGTACCATTCTTTACGCCAGTGGAAAACCGACACGAAAGAAGTACCATACTTTTGGCACTTTATGGAAGTACTGAAAATACGGTACCTGGTGCGGTGGAAAAACGCCCTGAGAGCAGTGTACCTGAAACCAGGGAGTCTGGAGGAGGAGAAATCTGGGAGATGGGATCTGGGACCAGAAGGTTTTAGGCTGGAGAATCTTAGAGAAGCAGGTGTGGGAGCCTGAGGCCGCAGTGTCCGGCTGCATACCGATTGACCAGCAGCTGCGAGCGCGTTCCCGACGGTGACACCAGGCTGATATCCAGGTCTCCTCGCCGTGGGTGCAGAATTGTGACCTTTACTATCACATGTTCCAGGTACTGCACTTGGTGGTTTGGCTGCTGCATACAGGCTGTGGAGGTAATGCTGACATTCAGGAGCTGGTCAGTATGGATGTACCTGCAGATAAAGCCCAGAGGGAGAGGCATCTCCATCAGCTACTGAGAGCAAGGTCCATGTCATTCATCACACAGTATTAGAGCAGACAAATTATATTCAGGTATAATAAGCAAATCCCAATGTTTAATAAAGAGCCATACATACTTAACCTGTCTTCTAGACTTAGACAGTGACTGTTTTGTCAGGATGGAGTAAAGGTTGTATCCTCCACACTCTCTGACAATGAAAATCTCGCTGTGAGACTGAAGCCTCTGTCTGAAAGTGGAAGTCTTCTGCGCTGAGCTCAACATGCTGATGAGTACTGGGTGAGCACCATGCCAGACACACTGACGGACTGGTCGTCCACGCATCGACCTTGAGCTACAGGGAGCTAATGAATAACCTGCAGGTAGACAACGAGTACCCTGCATAATGTAATATAAACTTAATCACACACACACGCACATGTAGGGTAAACATATCCTTATGGGGACTGCTCATTCATTTCTATGGGGAAAATGCTAACGCTAACTATGACAACCTTAACCCCTACCCTGCCCTAACCATAACCATAAGTAACCAAACAAAATACAAGATTCTTTTGTTTTTTCATAGCAGTCACCGATTTTTATAAAATAGAGTTTTCCCTGTCTTCAAAATACATCCTAAAATTCCCTTTTTTTGTCATGTTCATAGCTGAGGGGGAAAGTAGCTCAAAGTGCATAAATATTTATGGGCCGATCACAGAGGGGCAGAGAACAGCCTCTCTCTTATACACGCTGGACATTAAATGAATATTAACGTTAAAAACATTTATTCCATCATCTCTGCAGATCCTTCACTTAAAAGGCATAAAATGATAACCTGTTCAGTCATAATAATATTTCAGTCAGCTTGTCCTTATCCGCAAGAAGCTGGTTCTAGGTGCATCAGAAGTGGGGAGGGGGGGCACCCCTCCCCATCCTGCCACTCAGTTAAAACCACATATTATTCTCCACGAAGCTTCAGTTTGACCTCTGCCCTCTACAGCTTTCACCACATCCTGCACAATATTACATGAACAGATATCCGTTTAGGGCTGAACAATACTGGAGAAAAAATCATAATGTGATATTTTTATGGTCTGTGATCACCGTTCATAATGGCACCTTTTGCTATTTAATGCATTCCTGTCATGATACAGATGAAACAGATAAAACAAATGAAGAGCGCGTTCCTGATCTTTAGTTATAAATCCACATGTTACTGAGGCAAATTCGGTGCAGATCATAGTCCTGCATTAGACAGATTCATTTTATCATATGGATCTACACCCTTTTCTCATTTTAAATTATGATTAAAATGATTTTTAAAAATGTTACATCACATCCTTTCACAATATGGCTGTTGAATGTGTGCTTATTGCAATGTTGCAATATACATCTTAACCCCCCCACACCGGGCCAAATTCGGCTCCCACAATATCAAACGAGCTGAGTTGTGGTTTGGACAGGATCTGAGTTAGACGCTGATAACACTGAAGATCAGAGGTGACCTTGTTATGGCAGATTTCACATGTTAGTCAGTCCTCTCGATCAGACCATAGACCCTTTCATATTCAAACAGAACACAAGCTTTCAGAAATGTAAAATGGCGGGAGTAAGTCCTGAATGTATCAGAAAAAAAGTTTTATGGCGATGTTCCATTATTTCCTTTACCCCACGAGACCTGCTTATAGAACCACCCCATGAGTCCTGCCTACAAGGCCAACCCATGAGGCCTGCTTACAGGGCCATCCCACGAGGCCTGCTTACAGGCGACACCCCATGAGACCTGCCTACAATGCCACCCCATGAGGCCTGCTCCACAGGGCTACCCCACGAGGCCTGCCTACAAAGCCACCCCATGAGGCTTGCCTACAGGGCCACCCTANCTACAATGCCACCCCATGAGGCCTGCTCCACAGGGCTACCCCACGAGGCCTGCCTACAAAGCCACCCCATGAGGCTTGCCTACAGGGCCACCCTATGAAGCCTGCTCTACAATGCCACCCCATGAGGCCTGCTCCACAGGGCTACCCCACAAGGCCTGCCTACAAGGCCACCCCATGAGACCTGCTCTACAGGGCCACCCCATGACACCTGCTCTACAGGGCCACCCCATGAGACCTGCTCTACAGGGCCACCCCATGAGACCTGCCTACACTTGGTGCCATGTTTAATTTTAATGTGACCATTTTAGGCAACAGAGCATTTGACATCCACTACCTGGAATGGACAGACACTCCAAGGCCGGAGAAGGGAGTGGTGCTGGAAGAAGTGGGATTCAGTGTGGCCACCTCTCACCTGGTCATGTTGTCGGGGGTCTCGATGCAGACGTGCTGGGGGGGAACATTCTTCCATGTCTGAGCTTCCAGGACCAAAGCCTCTGCATTCACCAGCCCGAAACCATATAGATGGCTGACTACAAAGGCAAAGATACCTCCATGAGTGTTGCTCAATACCAAGGATGCAAAGATCATTCTTGTGGTCTTTCTTACTTCCCTCCCAAGACTTGGGGTGCAGTGAATCATGGGATTGGTCTCATTTGGCAAGGATACAACTGAGAACACAAGTACGGTCAAGTACATATATTGAGAAACACCCCATAACTCCTATAGAAGCAAGCTACCCCATCATGTAAATTAGCCGCATAATCCCTTCCCCAAATAGGCTGGACTAAAAAGTAGCATGGATCCCTAGATTCAGATAGGACTAGTGATGACGCTTCATGAATCATTTGCTGTATTTTTTGCCCCCACTAGATGGTGCTCTTGGCTTGCTTTGGGGCATGCTTTGTACCTTCTTTTTTTTTTTAAAGAGAGCACCAGCTAATGGGGCCAAAAAAAACACTACATGATTCTTGAAGCATCATTTTGTCCATCACTAGACAGGACCATCCATGATGGCCACCCAGGGCAAACCACCAACCCCACCCACCCCGTCACACAGGACAGTTTCACCACCAGCGGCTTACCACCCCCCCCAGTGCACAAGGTAAGACATAAAATGAAACTGGATGGTAAAGTTTGC